CCCTCGTCCCTCAAGCAACTAGGAGCAAGTCTAACAAGTGGACATGCTTCCTCAGGGAGTTCTTTTTGACCATCGATTCTAAGCAAGTCTAAACTAGGCAATACTCGCTCTTCTCACCTGCTTAATATTCAGACTACAGCTGACCATATAGTTTTAACTGCCTTTTGAACTTTTGTGTGATTCTTCATTAACTGTGTGCAACTAAAACCTGTAAAGTGAATTTATAAAGTACTTCGAAATTTGCTTAGGTATGGATATGGATGATACAAGCCGTAAGGAAAGAGCAAAATGCCTACTGCGCCCGCCACAATTTTCTTTATAAAGATTCTCCATCATTCCCTTCGCTAGCAAGCCTTCCCAGTCTGATCTTCTTGCTAAAATCCCTATAACTAAAATATTTTTAGTTTTTAGTGAAGTATCCCACACCATTCTCAAACAAAATCCTGAAAATGGAACACCCTATCCTCTGAACCATCTTTTCTGTTAAATTCAGATAAAAGGACACCTTGGTGTCTATACGTTTTGCATCACATTCAGATAACTAATCGTTTGTCAGGAAGGATAATACGTAAAACCAAAAAGCACCGAGGGGCACCATCAGCTTCATGTGTATCTGGTGGTGACAAAGTCTACGTAATGGGCCATCAGATGACATCACATCACCATTTGTATCATGCATACAGACGTAGTGGCACATTCCCTTTCCTGTTTCCTTGGGCATTCTTTCACTGACAAAGGTCAAAGCTGTTTCATCACTCCCGTAATGTTTCTGAGAAAACCTGGATACCCCGTGGTCATGGTTTAGCCGCCACCAGCAACTAAGCACCACACAGCCGCCTGATCACCCTCCCCCTGCCAGTGGGATGGGGGAGAGATCGGAAGGTCAAGAGAAAGAAAACCAGTGAGATGAGAACAGTTTAATCATTGAAATAGAATAACAACAATAATAAAAAATTTTAAGGGGGGGGGGAGGGGGGGGGAAGAGAGAGAGGGACAGAACCCAGGGAAAAAAAAACAAGCGATGCACCTGCTCACCACCTGCCAACCAATGCCCAGCCAGTCCCCAATTAGCAAATCACTCTGCTCCCTGGCCAACTCCCCCACCCAGCTTACATACTGAGCATGATGTCATACGGTAGGAAATAGCCCTTTGGCCAGTTTGGCTCAGCTGTCTTGGCTGTGTCCCATTCCCAGCATTCTTGTGCACCTGGCAGAGCACAGGAAGCTGAAAGTGTCCTTGACCCGCATAAGCACTGCTTAGCAACAATTAAAACAGCAGTGTATTATCAACATTATTCTCATACTAAATCCAAAACACAGAGCTATGCCAGCTAGGAAATTCACTCTATCCCAGCTGAAACCAGGACACCCATTAACTTGCTGACCTTTCCACAGTAGTGCTACAAGAGTTACTTCATTGTGTTTGGTTTTCAGTTTGGTTTTTGTTCTTGCCTCCCCGCCCTCAAGTGGGTAGGTGCTGGGAAAAAAGCCAAACCTAACTCCCACAAAATCAGAACACTGTAATCTTTCAGCAGTTGAGAGTTATCGTACATTAGGACCTTTCTTTGAAGACAGGAAGGACCTGTGACTGTGCTCCCCTATCAACTGGGATGCAGGGCAGAACTCTGGTTGCCTATCAACTCTCTAAATTAATTTTTTAACTCCCTCTCAATCACAGCCTCAGAGTAGGACTTTTATTATTATTATTACTACTACTGCTGGTTTGCAATTTTCATTTCCAAAGCTCCAAAACTCTAATGTCATTCTTTTCCTTGTCCCTTCCTTGCCCTCTCTTGTAAGACAGAAGGAGAGGTTAAGTTCAGAAATAATAGGATCTGCATACAAATCTATTGCAATAAATGCAGTTGGGTACGAGTCAAGCTTCCTATTAAGGAACCAAGATTTAGATGCCAAAGCTCTCCTACCTAAATTTAGCTATTTCAGACTGACCTTAAATCACTCTTTAGCTCCCATCATTTGTACTGACTAGGTTCCATCACACATTAAGGGAAACTTAGGCAGCAACTCACCCATGGGCTGCTATATGTAATCACCTACATTCAGAAGCCTGAATCCGGACCTGCCCAATTAGGCTGTATCTAACAGCTCTATGTGGGTAGAGCAGAGTTCCACAGATGGGAGATTCAACCTTTGACACGCCACCACAGTTAGACTAGCAACAGTGAAAAGAGGAACGTGTTCTTGTATGGGGTATCTGGTATGAAAGCTCAGGGGAATAAAAAAAAAAAAAACACCTCAACAAAATACCCTCATAGGGAAGCTCAGGAAGTGTGGCTTGGATGAGTGGACAGTGAGGTGGATTGGGAACTAAATGAATGGCGGGGCTCAGATGGTTCTGATTAGCAGGGCAGAGTCTAGTTGGAGGCTGGTAGCTAGTGGAGTTCCCCAGGGCTCAGTACTCGTCCCAGTCATGTTCAATTTATTCATCTATGACCTGGACGAGGGGACAGAGTGTACCATCAGCAAGTTTGCTGATGGCACAAAACTGGGAGAAGTGGCTGATACACAGGAAGGCTGTGCTGCCATTCAGCGGGACCTGGACAGGCTGGAGAGTTGGGCAGAGAGAAACCTGAAGAAGTTCAACAAGGGCAAGTGTTGAGTGCTGCACCTGGGGAGGTTGAACCCCATGCACCAGCACAGGCTGGGGGATGACCTGCTGGGAAGCAGCTCTGCCAAGAGGGACCTGGGAGTCCTGGTGGACGACAAGCTGACCATGAGCCAGCAGTGTGCCCTTGTTGCCAAGAAGGCAAATGGTATCCCGAGGTGCATTAAGAAGAGCATGGACAGCAGGTCGAGGGAGGTTATCCTCCCCCTCTACTCTGCCCTGGTGAGACCCCAGTTCTGGGCTCCCCGGTTCAAGAAAGATGAGGAACTCCTAGAGAGAGTCCAGAGGCAGAGGAGAGCAACAAGGATGATTAGGGGACTGGAGCATCTCCCCTATGAGGAAAGACAGAGAGTTGGGCTTGTTTAGCCTGAAGAAGAGAAGACTGAGAGGGGATCTCATCAGCACATACAAACATCTTAAGGATGGATGTCATGAGGATGGAGCCAGACTCTTCTCAATGGTGCCCAGCAACATGACAAGGGGAGCGGACGCATTTACTAAAATGAAAGATTGAGATTATGTTACCCCAAGCAAAAAAGTCCCCCATTGTTTTCCAAATTTGGAAGCTGATTTCAGTAACAGATCCTGAGCTTTGGGGATGGGGACATCTGGGGAGATTCTGATGAAGCTAGAGTTGATGAAACGGAGGAAGTAGCAGAAAGGGATGTAAGATCGCATATGAAAATGGAGAAGCATACAGGCTCATGGGGTGGGAATCCCTGAACTACTGCCTCAATCACCCCATGGACAGGACCTGAGTTCAGTGACTTGCAAGTTAAATGTTCATGCAAACCAGGCAAGACAGAGATGGAATATTTGTAGCATGTTTCACTTACCTGATGTGATTGGATATTACTGAATGATGATGAGGCTTGAGGGTTTGGGGGACCCAGTGTGTTTCTAAGTGACGGGCCAGCTGGGAACCAGACCAGTAGGCCAGTTGAGAAGTTTTAGATGAGAGGAGTCATTCAGATAAAGGATTGTCAGAATTGGAGGAAGGGGTATAAAAGGCTGCTTGTATACAAGTGATGTATGAGAGAGGGGCAGCAAGGCATACCAATGGCTGCACTGGTAGATCCTACTCACCTCAGGCCTCTTATCAGGGGCTTACCAGATGCTTTAAAAATACACATCCAGTACCTTAGAGGGAGAATTCAGATGGCCATAGAATGCAATTGACAGAATTCCCTGAGTCTGCCTGCACGTGTGCTGACATGGGCCAAGAAACTGCATAGTATAGTGAGCCATAGCTGTGAAATGGGGTGGACAGTTCCAGGTGGTGGTACAGAGGGGAGCAGAAGGATCTGGCAAGCCAGCTGCGAGCCTTGTCCTGGAGGGCCCTCCGCCCCAGGAAGAAAGTATTTACAATGAGGGTAGTAAAAGACTGGAGTAGGTTGCCCAGAGAGAAGTGGAGGCCCCATCCCTGGAAATGTTCAAGACCAGGTTGAACGGGGCTCTGAGCAACCTTATCTAATTAATGGTGTTCCTGCTCACTGCAGGGGGGTTGGACTAGATAACTTCTAGGGGTTCCTTCCAACCCAAAACATTCTGTGATCCCTTTTTGCCCAGACCATGTGAATTCTTACTCACTATTCAAGTCGTACTGTTTCATAGCTTATAAGGCTTAATGTGGTGCACCCATGAGCCAAAAAACCCCTCCAAAAAAAGGCTTAGATACATATTTAAGGTGAGTGTGTTCATCCTTCCTCTTCACAGTGCAAGTGTCCTCTGGGTCACACGGGGAAGCATGAAAGCCTCAGGAATCCAGCTGCTGTTGGATCATACAGCATATTAAGCCTGGGTTTAAGTTATGAAACTTGTTTAAGTTATGAATCTTGATTGTGGAATTTCCCTAAGTCGAGTCTGTTATGACCATGATGGTAACTGCTGCATGATTTCCCTGCCCTTATCTTGACGATGAGCCTTTTGTTTATTTTCTTGCTACTGTCCAGCTGAGGAGCAGAATGATAGAGCAGCTTTGGTGGGCACTTGGTGTGTAGCCAGGGTAAAACCACTAGAGACTTGAGCTGTTGAATACATGAATTCATGTGCTAGATTGGTCTGGGAAAAGGGGATCATGCCCCTGTTTGTCATGCCATTTTGTTGTATTTCTTAATGACCTCATGAGGTCAAGTTAAAACTGCAGAGTATGTTGTCCTGTACGTTTGAGATGGAAGGAGACCCTGACAGAGTGGTAGGTGGTGGAGCAAGCACAGAGCTGCAGTGTTTGTGGGGCTGTGAAGGGACTGCCAAGTGGTGGGTAGTTGATCCCTACGTGGTAGGTGTCCACTTGGGAGCTGGGCTCTGGTGAGTGTGATGGAAAGGATGTGATTGTTCACCTAAGTCTTGCTTAGAT